AGTGTGATGGAGTAAGAATTGCGCAGGAGATAGGACTAGGGAGTAAGTTGTTACTTGAGCAATTATTGATTGAATTTTGTTCCAGAACGGTTGGAGCATTGGGCAGTCCCACCATATGTGGAGAAGTGTACCAGTTGCTTGGCAGCATCTCCAACAGGAGTCGGGGATGCTAGAATCAAATTTGTGGAGTAAAGATGCAACTCTATACCATCTTGAGTATAGTTTGTAATTGTTTTAAAAAGTTAATTTATTTCAGTAATTCATTTCAGTTCATTCATTCAAAATTGCAACTCATATACTATATAGATTCATTACACACAGAGTGAACTATTTCAAGAATTTCTTTCTTTTAATGTTGATGATTATGGCTTACAGCTAGTGAAAACCCAGAAAAACTCAGAAAATTAGAATATTGTGAAAAAGTTCAATAATGTAGACACATGGGGGTTTATTTACTAAAGCTGGAGAGTCCAAAATCAGACTCCCTTCTGCATAGAAACCAATCAGCTTCTAACCTCAGCTTGTTCAATGAAGCTTTGGCAATGAAACCTGGAAGCTGATTGGTTTCTATGCAGAAGTGAGTCTGATTTTGCACTCTCCAGCTTTAGTAAATAAACCCCATGGTGTCACGCTCTCTAATCAGCTAATTAACTCAAAACACCTGTTAAGGTTTCCTGAGCCTTTAAATGGTCTCTTGGTCTGGTTCAGTAGGTTACACAATCATGGGGAAGACTGCTGACTTGACAGTTGTCCGGAAGACAGTCATTGACATCTTCCACAAGGAGGGTAAGTGCTAAAAAAGCTGGTTGTTCACAGAGTGCTGTATCTAAGCATATTAATGAAAAGTTGAGTGATGGAAAAAGTGTAGTAGAAAAGGGTGCACAAACAACAGGAATAACCACAGTCTTGAGAGGATTGTGAAGCAAAGGTCATTCAAGAAATTGGGGAGATTCACAAGGAGTGGATTACGGCTAGTGTCAGTGCTTCAAGAGCCACCACACACAAACATATCCAGGAAATGGGCTACAACTGTCACATTCCTTGTCTCAAACACACTCCTGAACCACAGACAATGGCAGAAACATTTTACCTGGGCTGGGGAGAAAAAGGACTGGACTGTTGCTCAGTGGTCCAAAGTACTCTTTTTGGATGAAAATAAAATCAGGGTCCCAGAGTCTGGACGAAGAGTGGATAAGCACAGAATCCAAGTTGCATGAGGTCCAGTGTGAAGTTTCCACAGTCATTGATGATTTGGGGAGCCATGTCATCTGCTGGTATTGGTCCACTGTGTTTTATCAAGTCCAAAGTCAGTGCAGCCCTCTACCAGGAAATTCAAGATCACCTAGTGCTTCCCTCTGCTGACCAGCTTAATGGAGATGCTGATTTAATTTTCCAGCAGGACTTGGCACCTGCCCACTCTGCCAAAAGTACCAATACCTTGCTGAATGATCATGGTAACACTGCTTGATTGATCAGAAAGATGAGAGACACCAGACCCAACAATGCAGATGAGCTGAAGACCCCTATCAAAGCAACCTGGGCTTCCATAACACCTCAGCAGTGCCACAAGCTGATCGCCTCCATGCAGCACCGCATTGATGCAGTGATTCATGCAAAAGGAGCCCTAACCAAGTATTGAATGCATACTATAGTGTCCATGGACATATTTTTCAGTAAGCCAACATTTCTGTATTAAAAATCCTTTTTTTTAATTGGTCTTATGAAATATTCTACTTTTCTGAGATACAAAATTTTGGGTTTTCACTAGCTGTAAGCCATAATCATCAAAATTAAAAGAAAGAAATGCTTGAAATATATCACTGTGTGTAATGAATCTATATAATACATGAGCTTCATTTTTTGAATTGAATTGGATGTCAGAATCTATACATACACATACAATGAGTGCATATCTACACAAATAAAAGTCCACAAACATCAAGTAAAAACATAAGTGATGTGCAAAAAGTAAAGTCCAGGAACCAGTGAAAATATTAAATTATCTACTGACTCCGTGAATGTATCTTGAAGAGATGATCAAGACACTTGTGCCCTTCACCACAAATCAGGTTGGCCTTTTGCCAAATATGAAATCACTACAGAGATCACCCGTGCATGTAATTAACAGACCTCCAGACATTCATCAATGGCAATAGCAGGACACCAACTTTCGGTTTTAGTGACTCCAAGGATCAGCATATCAGATCCACACTCAAGGAGGAAAACAGAGGCCACACATAGTGTAAAACCACCCAAAAAATGTATTTAAAACAATAGACAGGCACTTACAGAGGTAAAAGAAAATACAGCATGTACTGGTGCCTTGCCCCTGGCCACATGGTGAGAGCACTGACATCACAAGTTAAAGGATAAGTTCAACCTTTCACCAAAAATAATAAAGGCACATTTTTTGATTCAAGAATCAAAACCCGGTTTTGATACAAAATGGGATCCATGATTTTTATTCTGAATATATGGCTTATTGGATGCAACAAATGTGAATTGTCTCTTGCTATTTTTTAGACAAATTATCTTGGATTTATCCACTGCATGCTGGATTTTGTACCTGTTTCACCTCTTTTTTTAGTAAAAAGTTTGTAAACAAAATGCATGCTAAAGTACATAACTGCAACACAATGCAATTGTTCAGAGTGTTATATTACCTTTTATATATACAGTATAGTGCAAAATTACTCTTAAAGCCCTTATTGCAGATTTAAGTGAGCAGAGTATGTTCATTTTGCAAAGTTAATTTTTACTTTGCAATGTATATGTTAGTGAATGCGGGGAAAATTCACTTTGCAAAGAATACCCAATCACCTGCAAGGAAAATAAAATATTAAAAAAAACATGATTTTTGCTTGCACATGATTGGTTGATAGAAGTCAGTACAATTTCACCTCATTTTCTAAGCTACAGGTAAATTTTGCTTGTATAGTGAAAAATCACTTTTCAAAATGAATGAGTTTCTATGTAGACACAAGTTGCAACTAGCATTTTCAGATGGAGAACAGCAATGTTAGCCTACTTTGCTGTTTCATTTGAAGTTTCCATACTAAACCTATAAAGTAGAATCTTCTGGTTAATGGACTGTATGCTACATGCTTTAAATAAATAAAAAAAAAACAAAACAGAAAAAAAAACAAAAAAGAGGGCGCCAACCCACATGTTTATATAGTGTATGCTACATACGCCTCAAATGCTTGACAGCTGTGCTTCTCACGGAGTTCCTCCGATGGTAATGGGAAATGTGGCCTGAATATCTATTACTCCAAAACCTGATCTCGATATAATACATGTCTAATAAGGAACTATTTCCCTTTTAGTTTTCTGGAAGTTTCTGATTGTTTTTCTTTCGTGGATTCCAGTAGATATATAAGATATTCTTTGTCCCTAAGCATAGTTTCCTTTCTTTTGGCCTTTCTACTTGCAACCTTCATGTCGCACTCCCTAGAGTGTGTGCAATAGCTTGAGCAGTCAGCAGACCCAGGTTCATCTTTTGCTGGCAGCTCTTGAAAAGGCTAACTCTCTGAGAAACAACACAAGAGATAGTGAACTCCTGAAGGGGTCTTGGCCCTTGCTAGCAGAGGCACCCATCCAATGGTCACATTTCCCAGTCTGTGAAATGTAACAGCTTTTTCTTTCGCTCAAAGCATTTCTAGAGAGCAACTGGGGACATGCTTATCTGTAAATGTAACATATTTGTGTCTTTTGAAATGAGTCCATTAATTTTTTTTATATACTAATTATAAAAAATTCCCATCAGAAACTATTCATCATTCCCTTGGAGTAATTCTGAGTGACACGAGCTGTAAAGGAATTTATATTTTGGAATATTTTAAGCAACTGTATGCTTTTCATGTATACTTAAACATAGTTGGTCAGAACAAAAAAGTTTTGCTAGGACTTTATAATTCTGTTCTGAACTGAAAATTAAACAGTTTGAGTACAGTCTAAAAATTCTGTTAGTTGTAGAATTTAATGTCAGGAATTTTTAGACCTCTAAATATAGCCACTGGAACTGTGCTGTGTGTAGCAATCCTACCATTACATTGTCTAAGACTGACATATATAGGTTGATTTACTAAAGGCAAATAGGCTTTGTGTTTTGCAAGGGAAATTGAATTTTGCAAAATTATTTTCCCCAGAGCTTAGTGATTTAGTTGAAGCTCTGCAGACTTCCATCATGCAATCATGTGCAACCAAAAATACTATTTTTATGATTTTCCTTCAACATGATTGGGCATTTTTTGCAAAGTGAAATTTTATCACATTCACTAACCTCTAGGGAAAATTCCCTTGCGAAGTGCAACTTCACTTATAAAAATGTTTCCCTGCTGCCCTCCTAGTCCCTAGAGTAAACTATGTAAACCCTTCCCCACAGGCCCTTATTTTTTTCTTGCAAGTGCTGCAATCTTCCATACTGCCTGCATCTAGTAAGTAAAAATCTAGTACTGGGCAGTCTGTGCCTGCACTTCAATACCCTATAGACTTGAATAGAACAGTGCTCCTGCAAGGAGAAGTTAGGGACATTAGTGGAAAAGCACAGGCAGCCCAGCTCTTGATATTTACCTGCTGGACTGCAGAGAGTGCAGGAGGGCCAATGCCATTGAAGGGGGAAAGTAAGGACCTAAGGGGTAGGGATGGGGTAGCATACATTAATAGGACTACCTGATCCTTCCAGGTGTGGTAGAGCATGTGACATTCCCCTTCTTCTAACGTAACAGAGCTGGTGCTTAGTGATTGGTCAAGCACAGTCACAATGGGATGGAGACAAAGTCCTTAGTCATGCATAAGCTGTACATAGAATTACTCAGAGCTTAAACAGGGATTACTGGTCTCACTCTTAGAGGCTAAACAGAGCTCAGGAAAGGTGTATTTATGCTGCTGGCAAGGGGCATTAAAACAAAACTTTGGACACTGATGGACACTGATAGGTGGCACTGATGGGCACTGATGAGGAGGCACTGGTAGGTGGCACTGATGGACATTGACAGGCATCACTGATGGGCACTGAAAGGCAGCACTCATATATTTCATTGATAGGTGGCACTGACTGGCACTGTTAGGTGGCACTGACTGGCACTGTTAGGTGGCACTGACTGGCACTGTTAGGCGGCACTGAAGGGCACTGATAGGCCGCAATGATGCACACTGATAGGTGGCACTGACTGGCACTGATAGGTGGCACTGATTGGCAGCACTTATAGGTGGCACTGACTGGCATTGATATGTGACATTGATGTGGCACTGATGGGCACTGAAATGTGGCACTGATGGGCACTGGCAGGTGGCATGAATGAGCACTGTCAGCTGGCACTGATGGACACTGACAGGTGGCACTGCTGGGGCTACACAGATCATCAGGGCACCCTGGTCATCAGTGCCCTGATGATCAGTGTACATGTCCCCTCCGAGGAATGCCGATTACCGGCTCTCCTCTCCTTTCAAGCTGTCAGATTGACAGCTTGTGAGGAGAGAAATGCCGATAACCGGCATTTGCCTGTTTACATGTGATCAGCTGTGTTTGGACACAGCTGATCACATGACCGAGCCGACATCTTCAGCTCTTTCCGTGATAGTAAACGAGGGACACAGTGCACTGCCAATCGCCGCGCTGCGCGGTTAGAATGGGAGGACGTCATATGACTAGTACCACTGGATTGGCGTAAGGCCAATGTGGTGCCTATATTTAAAAAGGGATCAAGATCTTTACCAAGTAATTATAGACCTGTTAGTTTAATATCTATAGTTGGGAAGATTCTGGAGAGTTTAATAAAAGATCACATAGATGAGTTCTTGCCTGATTCATGAAAGACAGAAATTGTCAAACAAATCCGATTTCTTTTTATGAGGGGGTGAGCAAAACCTTGGACAGAGGGGTGGCGGTGGACGTGGTATACTTGGATTTTGCAAAAGTGTTTGGCACAGTTCCCCACACACGGCTAATGTGTAAGGTAAAGTCTACGGGCTTGGAAAAATCTGTATGTAAATGGATAGAAAACTGGCTAAAAGATAGTATTCAGAGAGTAGTGGTTAATGATTCATACTCTGAATGGTCTGGGGTCATCAGTGGTGTACCCCAATGTTCAGTGTTGGGACCATTACTTTTTAATATATTTATAAATGATATAGGGTCTGGGATTAAAAATACAGTTTCAGTCTTTGCAGATGACACTCAGCTGAGCAGTGGAATAACAGGATATTTCCAATTTCCAAGCCGACCTCAATGCACTGTTTAAATGGGCAACTATGTGGCAAACGAGGTTTAATGTTGATAAATGTAAGGTTATGCACTTGGGGGCTAAGAATATGCATGCATCATATATACTAGGGGGGGTACAACTGGGGGAATCAATGGTGGAGAAGGATCTGGGGATTCTGATAGATCATAAGCTTAATAATGGCATGCAATGCCAAGCTGCAGTTTCTAAATTGAGCAAAATCCTGTCTTTCATTAAGAGAGGTATAGACTCCAGCGAGAGAAATATCATTTTACCCCTGTACAGATCATTAGTAAGACCTCATCTGGAATATGCAGTTCAGTTTTGGGCACCAATTCACAAAATGAACATTGGGGAACTGGAGAAAGTACAGAGAAGGGCAACCAAACGGATAAATACATCAATGGTTCATATAGTGAACTCAGTGTAGAGTTATTCACCCTGAAGTCATCACAGAGAACAAGGGGGAACTCTTTATGTCTGGAGGAATAGAGATTTAATCTCCAAATACGGAAAGGTTTCTTCACAGTAAGAGCTGTGAAAATGTGGAATAGAGTTGGTTCTGGCAAGCTAAGTGGATTGCTTTAAAAAAGACTTGGATTCTTTCCTAGATACACAGAATATAACTGGATACTAACATTTATAGGTAAAGTTGATCCAGGAAATATCCGATTGCCTCTCGGGGATCAGGAAATAATGTTTTCCCCTGCAGGAGCAAAATGGATCATGCTTTACTGTTTTTTTTTTGCCTTCCTCTGAATCAACTGTGGGTATAGGATTATAACTTTTTTTTGGTTGAACTGGATGGACTTTTTTCTTTTTTTCGCCAGACTAACTATGTATGTAACTATGTATGATGTATTGTAAAGGAAAGCTACTTCTATCCTCCATGTTAAATTGCACAATGGCTTTTTCAGTGAGTTAAAGTAAACCTGCCAGTGCAAAACATCCCGCAAAGCCCTTAAAGCCACTGCCCTGTGCTAGACAGTCTCTGTTGCATAGGGTAACCAATATGGCTGCTCACATGTGCCTACATGCTGGAAGTATCAGGATTTATACAGGGCAGCATCAGAATGATTGTAAACTCAATTGGGGGATATTTACTAAAACTTGAGCACTCAGAATCTGGTGCAGCTATGTATAGTAGACAATCAGATTCTAACTTCAGTTTGTTCAATTATTTGACAATAAAACCTGGAAGCTGATTGGTTTCTATGCAGAGCTGCACAAGATTTTGCTCTCTCCAGTTTTAGTAAATAATCCCCAATGTGTTGTATAATAGCTTTGGCACTTATCAACCTTAGGCGAGTGCACAATACAACAAAGTCCAAGTAGTCATCTTTAACTTTGCAGGAACTCTTTTGTAGTTACTATCGAATGTCTTTGGCTGCTGCTATATTATCCAGGGGAAATATGTCATTTTAAAAGTGTCACCACACTTCTGAAGTGCCAATAACTGGATTTACCATGGCACCAGGACATACACGTTTGTCACATTTGTCAATCCCAGCTCCATGTTCAAATTTTTAAAGTAGGGCAAAACCTTAACTGGATAGTGTTTAGTTTGCTAAAGCACTGTGTATTATAAAAAACTGCCATCTTCCCATAAAATACTGTTTTCATTTTTTTAAGCAATATTAAACCCAAAACCAAAAATGTAATATATTGCAGCTTACCATTCATTAGATGTGGTGGCTGCATAAGTTTTCTTTTCTTTGGCTTTTTCCCTTTGTTTTCACCTGGGGATCCTGCCAGTATCAGATCTCCTGTATTAGTGAGACACCACTCTGGATGAGAGAGCACAAGAGGCACAGCAGACAACAGCATTTTCAGTCTGGGGAGAGGGGAATGTTAACTGTTCCAATAGATTTAAATACAATAACAAATTAAAGACAAACTCCATCTCACACTTTATAATCCATTACAGCAACAGTTTTTTTTCTTTTTGGGATAACCACTTCAAGTCCGGACACTTTCACCCACTTCCTGACCAGGCCAATTTTCATCTTTCATTACTTTCACACTTTGAATGACAATTGCGCGGTCATGCAACACTGTACCCATATGAATTGTTTAGTATTTTTTTGAGACAGATAAAACTTTATTTTGGTGGTTTTTATTCACCACTGGGATTTTTATTGTTTTGCTATATAAATGAAACAGTCCAAATATGTTGCAAAAAAGTGTTTTTCTTATAAAATGTTGCAAATAAATAATCTTTCTTCATAAATATTGGCCAAAATGTATTCATCTATCTTTTTAGTAAAAAATAATAACCCAAATTAGTTTATAACCAAAAATTATAATTTTTCAAAGCTTTTTTTTTAATATTATTTATTTATTTTTTTTCTAACATACTGTCACCCTAGCAGTACAGTGTCACCTTAGTGACACCGTACTACTTGTGGGGGGTGATGAAGATTTTTCTTTCTTTTTTTACACTTGATTGCTTTTTACACCCATAAAGGCTTCTCCTTCTCTCTGGCAACATTCCTGCAGCCATTGGGAAATACTGTGAGAGTTGTGATTGGTCACAGCTTGTCACATGGTACAAGGCTGTTGTGAATCATTCACAGATTTCACAAGTAGTAAGCAATGATGTCAGAAGTGACATCTTGTTTACTACTGTTCCTGTGATCACTGATTGGCCAATCACTGATCACATGAATCGGGACCTCACACAGAGGTCCTGTAAAGCGATCTGTGATTAGAAATGTCCACCCGCATCGGCAGTGTTCCCATCTGGCCGTTTATCTACATGGGCTGGACGGGAATTGGTTAAGGTTTCATGCACACAAACTCAAAAAATGCTGGAAAAAACACTGGATAAAAAAATGTTAATAACAGCATTTTTTTAGCAGTGTTTAGAATCGTTTAGGAGTGTTAGCATTTTAATAGCATTTTTATAGTACGTGTAAGAAAAAAAGTTACAAAAAAAGCTGTTCAAAGCATTTAGGAGTGTTCAGCGTTTTATTTTGTGCTGGAACAGCGCTCCCAAAAACTACAAAAAACTATTTTTTTCTGCTCCTAAATGCTGAAGCTTGAATAACACTACTAGCCTACAATAACATGCATGGACACATAGGATAACACAATTTAGCTTCTAAGAACAGAAAAAATTGCTGATAACAGCTTCTAGGATCTTAAAACATGCTAGTGTGCATGGAGCCTTAAATGAATACATAAAAGCTGATCATTTTAAGTGTCCCTGCCAGTGTTAAATGGTCTGTCTCATCCATGTAAACTGTGCTTGTGCTTCTGAAAAACAACAGACTTGCTGGTTGGATCACCAAATGAAAATAAAAGAAAGCCTAAAAAAAGAAACAAATGCAGCCATGATAACTAGGAATTGGTAAGCTGCAATAGAATACATTTGCTTTCGGGTTTAATACTGCTTTGACTGCTTTTGTATCTCAATGCTGCTGATCACCTCCAGCCTCTATGATCTAATTCCTATACACGCACTAACTCCAGGATTGGCTGCACATCATTGCTCTGGATCGACTTTCTGATAGCAACAATAATGCATTACGCTTGTGCAAGGTGTGCCTGCAGAGACGCTTGTAGTCCTCACTAGGTCCACATGTGATGGTGTGACAATGCAGTAGCACATGGGCAACAGTTGCCACCCTATAACAGGAAGTGTCTAAACAAGGACCCACATGGTCAGCAGGTATTATTTTAATAAAAGCTGCAAGACTGTACACAATGCTTCAAATAAGATTAAGATGTTAAAACTTGAAATTTTAGTGTCCAGGATCCCCCTCATATATGTACCTGAGCCCAATCTTGATGCAGCGCTAAGCCCCAAGAGCAGCAGTTCTCTTTGCTCTCTCCCTCCTCACTGGGCAGATTGATGGCATCAGGAGCCATTGGCTCCTGCTGCTGGCAATTAAATTCTGTAACAAGGGAGCAGGGGGTGGGGCAGAGCCACACTGTATTTGTCTATAGAGGCTGGCACCTCAGCTCAGCTCAGCTCAGGATCAAACCCACATGAGTGCCCCCATAGGAAATGGCTTCCTATGGGGGCACTCAGTGAAGAGGTGGAGGCAAGCCTGCCGGAGGGGGACCACAGAAGAGGAGGCTGCTCTATGCATGTTTGCTACAGTGGCAGACTGAAAACTCATAGGGCCCTGTGTCCTCGCCCACACTCAAACCACACCCAAAAAATCCTATGAAAAGGTACCAGGGGCATCTCATGGGGCCCCCTACTGACCCTGGGCCCTCGGGCAGTGCCCGAGTTCCCAAATGGTCAGTCTACCCCTGGTTTGCTATTTTTAACCTCCCCGGCAGTATTCCCGAGTGTAGCTCGGGGTAAAATTTCAGTAACAAGAGCGGTAACCCTGAGCTACACTCGGGCTTACCATGCAGCATTGCTCAGGGAGTCCCTGCAGCACTTACCTTGTCCTTCGCTCC